TTGGGAAACACCAGCGTGAAGCTCAGCACTGAGTCGCCGACCAGGCCTCGCTTGCGAGACGTGAAGGCGATGCCGCCGTTCATCACGAGGCCCGCCACGCCGACCATCGGACAGCCTCCGCCGACCGCGTAGAGGCCGCTCCCCCCGAGCGCCTCGTACACGTCTCCCCACACCGCGCCGGCGCCCACCTCGGCTACCGGCCCGGACGCATCGTTCCTCACGATGCGGATGGCGCGGTGCCGGCCGAGGTCGATTGTCACTCCGCCCTTTGACAGCGCGCGACCGGATGGGTTGTGGCCGCCGTTCCGCACCGACACGCGAAGCTTAGACGCACGCGCCGTCTCCAGAACCGCCTGCAGCTGGCTGAGCGACGATGGCTTGACGATGGCGAGCGGAGCCCGCTCGTCCTGGAGGTTGCGGTTGAAAAGCGTCGCCTCGCTGGCAAAACCGGGCTCGCCTATGCAGGTCACGACACCCGGAGGCGGCACGGCAGAGCGGAGGGTTCGGCAAGAGTGGTGCATAAGAGTGGTGCATCAGCCATCCTGTTTGTGGTCGCGACCCGCTGAATTGAAAAATTCTTTTTTGCACTCTCTCGAGGTTCTCGAGGTTGATTCCTTTGGCCGCGTTGGGTAGCGAGGATTGGTGTGACGCGATCCACGCAGGCGTGTTTTCTGGCGGCCTTTTTGCACTCACTGGGTATCATCATCACATAGCGGACGGCGCCTCAGTCAACGGTATGGCGGGTGTGGAGTGGAAGGCCCCCGCACGGGGGGTCCCGGCCGACGTCATGATCGTCCGCCAGGGGTCCGGGGTCGCCCAGGCAAGTGGCCCAAATCCGATGAGTTTTCCAAGTGTGAACAACCGTTGAGAGGTGTGAATTCATCCCGGGCGGGGTGCGGGGCGGTAGCCCCGCAGAGAAAATTTTGCGTGCTGGGGCACTGAGATCGCAGTTTTTAGTCCACGGCGGATGCCAGCGGCAGCTGTTTCGAAGATACCCGGTGTCGCATTTGAGCATGAATCAGCGTCCTTTCTGCTGGCATCACGCATAGGTGCCGGCAAGCAGCTACAGACGTCGCGCCTAGAGAAGATCACGGCCGCTGCCAAGCAGGCCAAGCTCGATCTCGACCGCGACCGGGCCTCTGCCGCCCTCCCCCCCGCGCCTGCCGCAGCCAGCCTTGCGGCCGGCGTCGCTGCCACCGGCCCCACCGGCC